ATTTAAAAGTTATATTAATCTCAACTAATTTAAAATTATATCACAATAAATTACATAAAATTTGTTTTAATGTCTATTACTTAATTAATTAAATTTAAAATTAAGATTTTATATAAATCTTAATTTTTTCACCCAAATTTATGATTTTATTTTGTTTTTATTTTATTAAATAAAAAAATTAAATTATCAAATAAATTAAAAATTCAGGTCAGATATTAAATCCCTTGCCATGTAAGCATGACATGGCAATATTTTGCCATCCAAGCAGCCAAGCAGGGTGTGTCCTCAACGGTAGTTAAGTGAGGCGAGCAGTCCCAAACGGCAGTTAAGTTGGCGTAAGAAGGGCTTAATTGCTTTGATCCCCGAGTTCGAGGGCTTATATGCATCAATTATAGTCTAGGGGCTTAATAGCGATTCAGGGGTTGGTTCAGGGGCTTAACTTATGGTTTTGCCATGAAAAACCCATGTCTTTGCCATTCGATCCAATAACCTTCCCTTAGATGGGAACAGATTTTATAAATATTGATGATATTAATTAAGTTAAAAGATAAATTTTTTATGTTGAGATTAAAAAATTTATTAAAAGTTATTTTTTTATTAGTTTTTACAAAAATTAAATTTTGATTAATAAAATAAAAAATAAATATATTATTTTATCAAACCACAACTTCTTAATTAATATAGTCACCTTTTTAACTGTTTGGTTTGGTATGGTGATTTGGTAAAAATTTTATTTTTTAAAGATTTTTTAATAAATGCCTATATTATATAAAAATAAAAATTAATTTTAATAAAAAATATAATTATAATTAATATAATTGAAGACAGAAATTAAAATTATTACTACAATATTTCCTTTAGGTTTGGAAGTTGTGAAAAAGTTATCAGACTCGTATTTGTTCGGAAAAACCTTTCAGACTTTTGGATAAAAAAAAAAAAGGTTTAACTCTCAAGAAAGACAAAATAAAAACTTGAAAAATGTTAATTTTACTTTTTCACTTTTATGAATTTATTTTGAAAATAAAATAAAGTGAGTTCTAGTTCATTCACGCAACGACAGCACTAGGGTTTAAAATCAAAGTCTTTGGTCTTCGTCAAGGTTAGGCTCGATAGTTGGTACCAAGAATCGGAGAGGATCTCCATGACCCTCAATCCACAATATTAGATTGCTAGCGTTCTCATCGGATCTCCCATGATCTCCGGCAACCGTCGAACGTAATTTACAGAGTAAGGTTTTCCTGTTCTGTCTTTTTTTTTTTTCTCTCTCTTTTTGTTTCTTTTCCATTTGTTTCTCATTTGTGCACCCTGCATCACTTATTTTGATCATGATTATCTCTTTCCAATTCTCCAGTTTATTAACTATCTCTTTTATAATTTAGGACAGCTCCTCCATTTCACATGTTTGTTCATCCATGGCTTTTTATTCTCAATATTCTTTCTCCTTCATAATTGTTAGTAAGTCTCTCTTATTAGTAAGAAATTAACTCAGCTAATTTACACCTGGCTTAAATTTACCACAATTAACTCTTAATTTGCTTCAGCGCTATTACTAGTACTATTTCTCCGTAGATTTGTGGTGTGTTGTGGAGAAAGTTGGTTTGCTTTGATTGTGACTATGATTGTATAGAGAAAGATGGGTTTGCTGTGATTGATTGTATTCTTTCAGATTTTACAACCCTCTTCAATCTTTCTGACTTTACTTTCTTAATTTTTCTTTTGCTGAGCTTGGATTGTGTCGACTCCCTGTTTGGACTATTGCGTGCATTTCTACTAGCATCCAACCTTGAACCTTCTTTTTAAAAATAAATAAATAAATTGTGGGATTTGAGTTTCATCTTCTATTTTGCTGAACTACTTGCAGGGTTTGAGTTTGATCATGTCACTTGACCCTTTTCTGGGGAATGTATTTGCTAATGCAACTGGTAATCTTTTATCGGATGGTATTGAAGGACTTGTGAATTATGCATCTGGTAACCTGTTAAGGTCCTTTGAGAGTGACTATGGGACATTGAAAAGGGCAGCAGCATTGCTTCAGGCTCAAAGAGATGATAATGAGTGGAGAGTCCAGCAAAATAAAACAAAAACAACCTCTAGTTATTACAATCAGTGGCGCAACAGTGTGATGATTATTCTTGAAGAGGTGGAAACATTAAAGGCTCAATATGAGCAAGAGATGAATCTGTTGTCAAATGTTGTGAACAGATCACATATTTGTGAAAGAGTGCAGCAGATATCCCAAGAAGTCCATGTTCTTTTAAAACATGGAGAATTTCAGGCAGGTTTTCTGGTTGATAAACCTCCAGATCCC